AGCACTTGTTTGCTGAACTGTGGAAGAATGTCAAGGTCACACACGCATTATTCATGATAAAAGCAACCGAGCTGACGAGTCTGTGCTTAATTCAAGAATAACCAGTAGAAGAGAGAGAAAACAAGGAGTTAACCACCTCTGGTGCTCTCTCAAAGGTAGAGGGGTTAACGGATGAATTCACGAAGGTAGGCAGGTCTATACAGAACACTGAATGCCATGTGTAAATCCTCATGAAACTCCAGAAACGGGAACACCACACAATGTATATACTTTGATTTACACATTCTGTTACAAAGAAAAGACACCATTACAACTTTGTAACTGTGTTAACTGCGATATAAACCAAAGTCCCGAGTTTGGCAGGTAACTAAAAGAGGGTCATCACTTAGGTTATATAGCAAAAGTGTTGATGTATATTATATATAGTAGTATAAATAATAAAAAAGTATTATTTAAATTAGATCACAGTGCTGCATATGTGCATAACAGTGTTTGATATAGTATTGGAGGGCTGGGACCTACGACACTAAGGATTTAACTGTCAACACTGGTAAGTCACAATCAAGAGGGGACACAGAGTTCAAATGTGTTCTTTTGGTGGCAAAAATCCTGAAGATGAAAGAAAAATACTTCTCCACAGAAACATAAAAGTAAATTGCAACATCTGGGCAGCTGTGATCCACCAGAAAGAAACCGAGTCCCAACCTGAATCAAGTTTAAAGGGAAAAGAGAAGTCACATTGAATTTAACCCAATCCCATATGGAAAACCCTCCCATGTAGGTCACTTGTACAGAACTCTGATTCCTTCTCCAAAAGCCCTTTGAACGAGAGGCTAAGAGCCCCCCTGCATAGTGCGGGGGTCACTGAAACGTGAGTTGGTAGCACTTGGGGCTGGGCAGGCCCAGTGTGTCCCAGGACTGAGCTGGGCACGAAAGCCATCTGGACGGTTTGTACTCTACAGAGCCCGCAGCCTACAGTTGTCCCCGGGGCAACAACGTCCTTCAGTGCAACGGCAGCTTCTAGAATGCCCTGTGGTAGCTACGGCCGCACCCAGCAAGGACCAGACACGCTGAAATGCCTCTCCAAGAAAGATCAGCTCTTGGGAAAAGCCTCCGACACATCCCTTCTTAAAGGCTCAGTCCCAAGACTGAAACCTGCCGCAGTCGTCTTGGCCATCTCAAGCCACCACCTAAATGTGGGTTTGGTTCATTTGAGTTTCAAATAGACAGCTTTATTTACCAAAGAACTCTTAAAAGTATATGGATTAGAGAGGGAAGGAAAGTAGGAGCTTATGGCATATAATAAGGCTGGGAAAAATCTATGATGCAGACCCTTTCCACGTAGTACTAAAGATAAAGACAATTAGAGTAGCATAAAAATAACTGTCTATGTGTATATCATTTAAGAGAAAAGAGGTAGTCTCTTTCTCTTAAATGTGTCCGAGGGCCAACAGGAAGTAATTGTAGATGTCACGGTGCTGATGTGTTAATGGTTGTTTTCCAAAGCATCTTTAAATATTGCTATAGTTCCCCGTCTCCCCCTCCCCCCTGCCCCATGTGAGTATGTGATACTGGAATGACACACAAAAACACCACTTCTCCCAGCAGGAGAAATGAAAGCAAAAACACCACACCCCTTGGAGGGTGCTGAGGCGGTCTGTCAGACTCATGAATACATATGGTAGTTTGGAAGCTAAAAGAACACCTGACGTTTGGGAAGGAATTCCAAGACTAAAGTGAATTACATTTGAGCAAAATATTCTTTCACAAATAGGCTTGTGCTTAAATCCTCTACTGCTCTTGGAGGAGGGAGTGAGAGAGGGTGCCTCCTGCCCCTTGGCTTGGCAAGGACATGGACAACCTCATTCTGCAATGAATTCACTACAAATGGCCACATACACATCAATACTTTTTTTTTCTCAACAATCAAAATACAAAGTTAAACACAATTGAGCCATTGTTTTGGTTATGCATAATGTGTATGCCTCCAAAAACAGAAGAAAAATAGAAAAAAGTACCCTCACTAAAGTTTCCCCTAGAAGTCACCCTGCGGCTCCTATACAGGTGCTGAGGGAGACCCAGGAAAATAACACTTAGAAAGCTGCCCGATGAGGTATTTATGCAAAAAGAGTGGTTCTGGAGTTAAGAACACACTTTTATAAGATATTTATCTATTTCTCAAAGAGATCAGAAAAGTAAATCACACACATTGCATTTTATTATTTTCTAAAAGAGGCCTTGGCTCCTTTAGAAAAATGAAATGAGGGGAGACAGCCCACTGTGGGGGTTTTGATTGGAAGAAGTCCCCGCCAGAAACAGTCCTGGATGTCCACCTCTGCCTTTCGGGAGGGAAGTTTGAACTTGACCCCTGGGAAGGGAGGGGTGTGGGTGGGGGCCGAAGGGGGTATCTCCCGGGCTTCATCAGGCGACAACACATATCAGAGTGTCGCCAGACACCCCAGATACAGATTCTGGGGTGTCAGCTATTTGGGGAGATGGAGGGAACAGAGCACTTCGGTAATACATCCTTTCCCCATCTACACCTGGAACAAATAGGCTGGAAGCATTCAGGTTTAGGTCCTGAACTTGACCTGTCATATGGGCGTAGACTTTTTTCAGGTTCTCTCGCCAGCAACCCGGAGGAAGCAAAAGTACGGGGTCTGCACCAGCTCGTTCCCTCTGTGCTGGCTGCAGCTGGCCTCTGGGCTCCACGACGGGCCACGACTCTTTCTCCCCTGCGCCCTCGCTCTCCCTCACCACCACGCCCTGAGCCCCGGTAGTGGGTTTTCCCGTTTGTTTTACAATTCCCCTCCATGTGGGTGGAAGATCATATTCTTTGAGAGGTCTCTCTCTCTGGATCTCCCAAGATAATTTCTTTTAGGCAAAGATAACAGGCGTTCCTGGTCTGCGTGACATCATCCCGTTGTCTAAATTCAGCTCTCACAATCTAGGTGGGCTTAATTCCAGGTTGGTTCATGGGCTCAGGTGACAGAGGCGGCCAGTCCCTCCTTCCCACTGTGAGACGGCGATACAGGAAAACTGTCTGGGGCTGGTCCTTCTGACACCCGTGTCACTTCCTCCTTCACGCGTACCCTAACTCACACCCTCATCCAATAAGGCCCATTAGCGTTTTTCCCCTTCTTCTGGCTAATTTGCATAATAATTCACTGCCTTTTTGCTAGAACCAAATCACGGTAATGGTTTTCTCAAGTCAGCGTCCCATAATTCTCTTAATTCTATCATACACGCTCACTACTAAGTTTGCCCTCAAATTATTGCGTCATGGTAAACATGTACAGACAAAGAGAAAGGACACACTTTTCAACAGAGAATCAGGGGGTCAGGGGCTGAAGTGCAGACAAGGTAGTCCAGAGCTCCACCATCCAGGCCCTACCAGAACATGAAGATATTTTATATTGCAGAGTAAGATTCCCCAACAGTCAGAATTTGTCCCTGAAGAAGGTTAAACCTTAAACACCTGCTCCAAAAAACCAAAACAAAATAATTGGGAAAAACAAAACAAAACAAAACAAAAAAAACAGAAAAAAAAATTAAAGAAAGAAAGAAAAAAAAAAAAGAGAAAAACCAAAAGAAACTCTAAGCCTAAGGGCTTAAAAATTAGAGGCATAGCCTTTTCTCTATTTTCTATATTTATATGAAAATAATTCATGCTTCATGCTAAATACATTATTTACCTTACAAGAACTTTGTTATTTTTGAATAAAAAAAAGTTTGTGTTTTGTGATTTTTTTTTTCTTTTTTTTTTCTTTTTTTTCTTTTTTCAAAGGAATCCATGCATTGTGGATCAGAAATTTCTGCTGGCTACACTGGCTGAATGTGGAAATCACTGATTTTTGCAAAGATGAATCCTGACTGACATTAATTGCAAACTCCATTTTGAGGGCAGTATAGGAGTTTTCTGATTTTTGTTGGTTTTTTTTTTTTGCCATGTTTTTACTTCTGTTTGTCCATCAATGTGCCTTTAATCTTTTAAAAATACACCACAATACTAATGGCAGGTTCTGTAGCTTTTTGTTTTTTCACTCGGATCAAATAGTTTTGACAGACAGGAAAAGATCTGTACCATTATTTTCTTCCTTAACAGCTATTGTACTTTCCTAGACTTGATTTTCACTTGGGCAGTTAAGAAGACATAGCTTGTTCTCTGCATCAGTTCTTTCTCGTGTGTGTATGTGTGTGTGTGTCTGCGCATGCACACGCGCAGGGCCAACCTTCAGGCTTATGGCTTGTGGAACATTTTCATAATTTAATACAGAACAAAATTCGATGATGAGTAACATCACTAAAAACTGACCCAGTTTCCTCTCCTTAGTCATTGACAACTGGTATAAAAGGAGTGGTCCAGTGTGCCTACCTCCTTGGATGCTACTAGGCTTCACAGCAAAGAAGCACAAAGGACTGGAGACCCCCCACCCCGACCCTGCCCACCCACCCCTTCATGGCAATGAAACCCACAGCAAGGACAAGGGTTCTCCTAGCACAGCTGGGTGCCCCACGCTAAGAGCCTGGGTCTGCTCCCAGGGGACCAGGTCCTTCCTTGTCCCCAGTCCCTTTATACGCATTCACTGAGCAACCCCAACTGGGTGGCCATGCTGACCTTTTAAACCTAAGGGTTGGGCCTGATCGACGATGACTTTGCACACGTGCCTTCTAGGTGCCGAATGTGTGTCCCTGTGGCACGATCGCTGGCATCCCTGTGGAGTCAGCCACGTGTTTCTGACAAAGCTGGAGGAAGCAATGGTAATTTTGGCTTTTTCGGTTTTGTCTTCAGATAATGAGAAGCTTTTGTAAAACAGCTGAGTGTCAATATGAGTTCTATGGCTTCAATCTCCTTTAAAAATAAAATTCTTAAGGGTTCAGAACAAAGGAGGGGCAAATTAAAAAAAAAGAAGAAAAAAAAAGGAAAGAAAAGGAAAGAAAGAAAACAAAAACAAAAAAAAAAAATAAAAAAAAAAGGGAAAAAAAAAACCCAAAAAAAGAAAAAAACAATAAATTGCTGATATTGCCACAAATCATTAGAAATCTCCTGACATGCTAAAACCAAATGGCCGAAAGTTCAAAACAAATCAGTGACTTGTTTTTAATTTTTTGTGGTTTCCTTTTGCTCTTTCTGCCCCTTTGCCGTCCGATTGGTGATGTTGTTCAAACAGGACCGCACCCCTGCCAAGTGCAGGAGTGAGCCCGCTGCCTCTTTCATCTCCTCGTCGTCGCTCTCGGGGGGCTTCTCCGTGCGTCTCTTTTTGAGGGGCAGCGTGTCGCTGGGCACCTTCCGGGCTTTGGCCAAGTGCTGGCGCTTCTTGTGCTGGGCCGCGTAGCCGCTGTCCCCCAGGGCGTCCTTGGCCTCCTTGGGGCTGTGTTTGCGGTCGTCCTCCTCCGTCTCGCTGTGGCTCTGGAAGCTGCCCTCGCTGCCCTCACTGCCCTCCTGGCTCCCCTTGGTGGCGAACTCGTAGTGGTCGTCGGCCGAGGAGGAGGAGACTGAGTCGCTGGCCGGCGAGGTGCTCCGGGCATTGGACGACTTGGCACTGCTGTAGTTGTGATCCTCCTTGGGGTCGCCGCTGACCACCGGGGAGCCGCACGATGGCTCGCTCTCAGTCCGCAGCCGGCAGCCTCCGAGGCCGTTCCTGTGGACGGGGCGGTGGGAGTGGGGAGGATGACACAGAGAGCACACCGGTTAGCCCCCCGCGTTCACGCCTGTGGCCCCCCCGACCTGCAGCCTGGTGCTTTGTCCGCCTGGGACCTGCAGGCGGCCCTACTCTGCAGACGGCGTCCCAAATCCGGACCAGCGGCCTCCCTGCTCGTCCCCCCTCGGCCGCAGAGACGAGCAAACCTCACTCTTGTGTAGCGACAGCCGTGGAAGGCCACCTTACGTGAACCCAGAAAGATCAAGCCGTGCTTGGTTTCGCACGCCCGCCAATACTGTGCAGCGGGCATCGCCAGGCGACGCTGGCTGGGTTCTTCAGGGGGACAAGCCCACTCTCTCCCAGAGCTGCGACATCAGGAGCCTTTTGTCAGGACACCAAACCCAGGGCTCAGCCGAAAGGGCTGCCTGCTGTGCGGTGACAACTATTCACTTGCGCCTTCCCTCCCTCCCTTGTTCATCCTGCAAACATTCACAGAAGACCTCATGCAACTGCATGGCCTCAGGGGCGGTCCCGAGGAGCCATCTGCGGTGGGATGAGATAGATGCTGTTGCGAAGATGCTTCCAGTGGAACAGAGAAGCAAGTCGCAGTTACTCACAGATTAGAGAGCGGTAAGTTACTACCTGCTACTCTGACCGTCTGCCAGACGCCACGTGCCGTCCACAAAGAAGGCTGCATCTGGCTCTGTGACGTGTGCATGAGCATCCCTACTCCACTGACTCCTGGAAAGCCACACAGCTAGTATGTAGCAGAGATGGGATTAAGACCAAGGTCTGAGTCTCAAGATGGGCTCTTGGTACAATCCGACGGACCTAGGCTGTTTTTCTGATTTCGCTATGACCAGGTCCCCTCCACACACTCCCATCAGGACCCCACACCACTTACCACACCACAGATCACCGTCTCGTGTCTCTACATCTGAGCGATGAACTGAACCCCCCGTGCTTCCGTACTGGCAAAGGGACGGGGAACTGCACCCACTTCGTTGTGGGGCTGAGGATGGGAGGGAACGCCTGTCCATGGGGACCAGGGCCTGGCCACTGACAGGACACAGTAGGTGCTCAGAAGAGGTGGTGATGAGAGATGAATACACAAGAGTGAAAAGGGTTACTTCCAGCTGGAGGGGACAGATGCAGGGCAAGGGAAAGGCCCGTGGAAGACATGTCATCTGACCTCGGACATGAGGGCTGAAGGTCTGGGGCAGGAAGGAGAGGGGTGCTACTGCCCGGTGCCGGCCCTGTGTCCTGTAAGCCTATTCACCCAATGATGTCCTTCTAGGAGACCTCGGGTACATGAGCGCACTTTTCCTTCCTTCCTTCCTACAAACTCCCAGCTACACGCACTCCTACTATGTTCCCTCCGCAGAGGGCACGTCCCACCATCTTTGCGAGCTGTGTGCTTCCCATTGGAGTGTTAGCTCCAGAAGACAGGGCCCAGTCATGGTATGTCCCCCAGAGTCAGGTGCAGAGTGGACACAGAAGATATACCGAGCAAGTGTAAGAGAAGATGGGATTGTGTGGCAGAGAGCATGAAGTTTGGGAAGATACTGTGGGTCTCCCCCAACATGCCTCACTGGACAGTTCCTGAACATAAGGCACCTGTGGAAAGCCTACGGGGTTGGGCCCAACAAGAAGATTTGGTCACGAGCTGTTACCCTCTCTTTCCTGCCATCCCTGTGGGCCCTGAGGCTCAATGAGACCTTGGTTGCAACCCAGAGAGAAAGTGAAACGGGAGGAGAATCCTTGATGTACATGGTACAGCAGGGAGTGAAGGCAAGGAGTCGCCCTCCTGGTGACCGAGGGCCTGTGATGAGTGGTCAGCAAAATGGAAGCGGGTGGTGAGAAATCCCACCATAATATGCACCAGCAAAAGGCAGGAGGGCCATTATCCAAAGTCAACCTGTGCTACATGCCTAGAGATCAAGCTCAACCCCAGCAATGTCAAGGCTGCACAATGACAATTCATTTGCACAATGGAGTCCTAGCAGTCTCCAGAGAGGTCCCGGACTGTGTCCTGCACTGTGCGATCCCAGGATCCGCGGCACCTCTGCCCGGCCCTTCTAGAAAGAGCCTGGCTCTCCAGACAGACAGGCTTCTGTTCACAGCACAGCCTTGCTTATTAGTGGGCTCAACTCCCTTACAGGGCAGAGCGATGATGAAATGGAAAGTTCCGAGCGCAGAGGATGGCTCTTCAGTGCTGCTTGAGAATTCTGCCTTGGTTTCCTCTGTTGTCATCGGACGGCTCACCGGGGCTTCCTGCGCTGTGACGGGCTTATCTGAGCACTCTTGTTTTTTTTCTCTACTCTGGGTAGGGCGGCTTATGGGGACATGGCATAAAGGAAGAGGAAAGAGGACCCAAGAGAGGAATTCCTCACAGGCTTGGAGGGTAAACAGCCCCTGAGCTTTGGGGAATGGCCCCTGCGATATCTGTTTTCTGCAGACTTCCTGTTTCTTGGCTCCGTCTCGGGTGCACAGAAGTGGCTAGGAAAAGATAACTTTGAGGTGTTTCCAAATATGAAACTCAATAAATGTAACTAATTGCACTGGTAGCTATTAATAGTTATTAAACAAATGAAATTGCAAGTCTCAGAGAATGGGTCTCTTGATCTTTGTTGTTTCAGGTAACTGCTGTAAAATCCAGAAGAATTGGTCTACTGAACTAGCATAAAAGAGTCTCAGAGTGAAACCCACGACACTTGGATGAGTAAATCGGGCTACGGCTGGCTTTTAGAAAAGCAATTTAGTTCTGAATCCTCATTTGTTAACAACATGGGGCTTATAATTCACTTCACTACAACAGTTGAGCAGAATAGGATACTTCGGAACACAGAAAGAGAGAGGGAGAGAGAATCATGGAAGCGAGAGTATGGAGTAAGGCAGGCACTGCCAAAAGTTAATTCCTAGGGAATCTAGGTGAAAGGCATACGGTGTTCATTGTCCTTTTCTTTCTTCTTTCCCACTGGTTAAGACATTTTTTTTGAGTAAAAAGTTTGGAGTAGGGGGTGGGAGATATATGCTAGAATGACAGCAATGAAAGAAACTTCTAGAACTTCTTTTTCTTAAAGGAGATAAACAAGCCTGAGAGAAGTACTAAAGACACACTATAGTCAAATGGAGAATAGACGAGAAAGTCACTTGGATAGCCCATGAACACGTAGGGCAAGGTCTCTGGTCCCCCTTGGAATCACACCAACAGTGATTCCAAAATCCACACGCTGGGACAGTGGCCTAACTCAACCAACCGCTTTGCAGATGAAACAAACAGAAACTCAGGAACTCCTGTGACTGGTGCACGGTGCCCCAGCTAGTTCTCAAAGACAGCTCAAGCAGGAATTTGAAATATCTTTCTGTCTCTCTCGGGTAAGGAGACCAACACACCCACTGACCGTATTTCTGGATAAAACAGGTAGGCAGATGTTAAGTTCAGGGAGCAGGAATTAAAATATAAATGTATCTCTCTCCGTGGATAAAATTAACTTCCCCTGAGATTGCAGCATGGGTGCATAATCCATAAATTACACACATACTCGGCAGGGAGTGACAAGCTCCTTCAATTATGAATAACTTGATGTGATGTTGTTGGTGGCGGCACGAGCCAGCTCCACTGACTTGGTGTCAAACACCTCCGGCTGCTAGGGGTCGTCACTATGGGACGCCACATACTTAGAAGCAGGAACCGGTCATCCCGAACACATTGGAAGGTAAGAATCTAAGCACCTCTTCAAAAATCATTTTCTGAAATGCACATGTGATACATGAGAACTGCCTGCCATTTTTCAGACGTAGCTGAGCTTACATGTATACCACTCAAAGCATTCATGTTAATTTCAAAAAGCTGGTACGCATTTTCTCATCAAACTGATGGGCAATAGCAAACATAAAAGGTGAGAAATCACATTAGTTCAGGCTGAAAATGAGCAATGCTTGCAACCAACAAGTCAAAGTACGGCTTCTAATGAGACATGGCCATTCTGCAGTCTTCTCTGTTGGTTCATTATTTGTCTAACCATACATTATCACCTCCACTTTGCACCTGGGCCCAAGGGTCTTCTCTGGAACCAATAGTTTTAGACCTAGACAACATCATTTAGGGTGAAGTTGTCCTCTTAAGTAAGGGACTGACTTGAGAGCTCTGGACTCTGGCATGCAATTAACGGGATCATGAAATCAGGGCCAGCTCTGGAGCTAGTTCAGTGTTTCTGTCTAAAACCAAACACAGGTAGAAAGACATGGAAGATAAGAGATGGCTGGAAGCTTTCGCTTCTAGCCAGAAGGCAGAAAAAACATCTGGAAGGCACTCTTCCGACTATCACACAAAAGATCTTGGGCAAAATACACCAACACAGTTTTAATTCACTGCTGGTTTCACTGAAAATAAGGGGACTCAGGAACCCATGCAAACACATGTGTACCAAGAGAATGTCACATACACACACAACTTAAAAATAAAGGGACAAAATCTGAAACGGGAGCAGCAGACAACCAAGAAAGCCAGGGTTTCCCCCAGAGCAGATGAGCCTACTCTAGAACAAGAGTAGAACAAGAGCCGAAACTTATGGTGATGGGAACAGAGTGGCAGAAGACTGATTCTGGTAGCTCCTATGGCTCCTCGAAGGGGATCGAGGTGGTCCCTGGGCATCCAACATAAGTTTTGAAAGCAAATCCTCTCTTGAAGCACACAACCTGAATTTCAGCCATCAGGATTCCCCCATACTGAGGTTAATCAAATATTTAAGTAGAAAGCTCATAACCTAAAAATCACCAAACATATCAGCAAACAGGCCACTAGGAATGAATAAATGTAAAAATGTCATATAAATGAAAAAGCTAAGGCATCTGAAAGATGATACTCTCAGTGAGGTCCCAGGGAAAAGTCACTTGCCCACCACAAGCAGACAATGGGGATAAAAGCCAGTCTTAACCTCCACTCCAGATGGGATGCAAAGTAAGAAAGGCCTCCCCTGAGATTTTTTTAACCACAA